GCATCTGGCTGCCCGCCCCCATGGGGTTCATGCTGCCCCCCATGCCCGGGCTGGGGTAGTTGGCGTTGGACATGGCGTTGTAGTTTGGCTGCCTGGGGTACCCTCCTGGGGAGAGAGCACAGGGGAACACGGCGTCACTCGCCCCGTTCCCTTCGTGAATCACCACAGAAATCCTCTATCGGCAAATATTTAAAGATCACTAACAGAGATGAGGGGGAGTGTTCACACCTCAACACAAAGTCAAAGTACTTGGATATAAGCCACGTAAAATGTGTTTTGACACAGCCAAGTAACAACATCGATTCAGAAGCTGCCTGAAACTCTCCCAAACCTCAACCCAGCACAGAGAGCTAAATGGCCCAGGACAGGATGGAAAATCCCACATTAACCCTTCCCAAAACAGGCATCATCTTCCTCTCCAAAGAGAGCCATCCCTTTGTCACAATTACATGGGAGGCACAACCTGCTTATTCCTAAATAAGTTGGAAGAATCCTACTTTTAGAAGTACAGCTATCCCTGAAAGCAACATATCCCATCAATCTCAACAGGAGCAAAGCTCTGGTTGGTACCACCCACAGTTTAAGAGGGGACAAATCAAAACATTTATCATGGAATCGTGGAGTGGTTTGGAAGGACCTTGAAGATCATCCCATAGGCAGGGCCACCTTCCACTATCCCAGCTTGCTCCAACCTGGCCTTGAATGGGGCAGCCACAGCTTTTCTGGGCAACCTGGGGCCCCAACAGGACACGAGGACAGAGAGAGGCCTTTGCTGGCCCCGTTCCCACCTTGAGGTCCGTACTGGCCGCCCTGGGGTCCGTAGCTCCCCATGGAGTTCTGCTGGTAGGGCCCCATGCCGGCGTGCATCTGTGCTCCCGAGGACTGCCGGGGGGATAAGGCTGAGCCGGGCTGGGGGGAGCTGTACTGGGGCATCTGGGGGTTCCTCTGCATGTACCCTGCACACCAGGAGGGAAAACAGCGTTAGTGCAAGCATCCCGAGCTGCCAGCGCACACGCGTGTGCCAGGCAACAGCCCCCAGCACCGACAGAATCCTTCCAGCAACAGCCTGCACTCATTTTAGTGGCTGCATTAAGGAGCCTGTGTTATCTGAGCAGATAACAGATCCAATTTCCTGGTTTAGTCAGAAAAAAACCCCTTAGTGTAACAGCAGAAGCCAGTACAGCTCTGCAAATCCTTGGGGCTTCTTGTTCTTGGTTTTTGTTCACTTGTTTGTTTTCTCAGGGTGACAACTCTATACCTTCAGCCAGGAGAGCTGAAATTTTACATGCATTTTTCCCCCAAAAACCTTACTCTCTCAAAGGGGTAAGGCACACAATATTGTTGTGAGCACCCCTTGTTTTGAAGCTTAATGCATGTTAAAAAGCCAGAGAAAACATCTTAGAAGCCAAAGCACCAGTTTGGATGGAACATTCAGAGGCCAAACAGCCCCCAAGAGCCGAATTTCCTGCAAGGAGCCTCAACAGTTCAGCCTGTATTCCTGGGGCAGCTCTCCAGTGCTCAGCCCCAGAACCCGGTGCCAGGGCAGGGAGCTGGGGGCAGCAGGGTGGCACCCACCTCGGTCCTGCGCGATGCCCGACTGGTTCATGGAGGGGTGCAGGATCGTGTCCGACTGGCCGCTGGGAGGGCGGGGAGGCATCTGATTGCCTGGGCCACAGAAGGACACACACCATCAGCACAGAGCCCCACACAGCCAGCACACACAGCCCAGAACCCCCAACGAGCCCAGGACAAGGGGAGAACAGCAGCAAGTGGTCACTCAGGCCGGAGCAAGGGCACTGCTGGCTCCCCAGCACCCCAGCCACCCCAGCAACCTCTCACACACACCCAGGAGCTCAGAGGAGCTCCGTGAGCACCCAGGGCAGCTCTGGGCAGCACAATTCAGCCCCAGCAGAGCCAGGGTGAGAGGTTACCTGGGACTGCAGCAGGGGACAGGGGGCCGGAGCGGGACTGAGCAACGCTGGCTGGAGATCCAACTGGGGAGGGGGAGGGTCCTCTGATGCCTGGCAGGTGAGGAGAGGTATGTGGCGAGAAAGGAGACTGAGCTGGGTTACTCTGCTCTCCTTGGCTGCTGGAAATCCCTGATGTGCTTACTCCAGGGCTCAGGGCTCCTTCGGTCCCCATGGGCAGGTCATCTATGGAACCAGACAGGTCCTGCAGGGCACAGAAACACATCAGAAACCACAGAGCCATGGGGCTGCTCTCTCACACGCTGCTCAGGAGGAGCGTCTGTCCTGGCCATGCTGCACTCAGTGAACTCTGTTTGCTGCTGGTACCAAAGGCTGCTGCCAGACGTGTCCTACCCTGCTGCCAGCCTGAACCCAGGAGCGCCTGAGCTGGTTTGCTGCTGGCCCAAACAACTGGCAAATTCTCCTTTTAATTCAGTTCAGAGGCTGGAAGTTAAAGAATGCATCAACAGCACACGTAAAGCTGCAAACACAGGAGACAGTCCATGTGATCATGGCTTGGAAGGGAAACGTGGCTCAGCCTCTGAAAGACAGAAAACTCCTGCCTCACCATAATTAATTCATAAACCTCCTATGAGCTGGGAAACTACTCACTTGAGATGGATAAAAACAAACTAAACAGAGATTTAAAAGAAAACCATAAAATACTCTTCAGGGTTCCCACTTCCCTTTCTTCAAAGACAGCAAAAATTAGCAGTTACTGCATCAACCTGTAAAGTTTAGCTTTTCTCAAAGGCAAGGCTAGAAAACACCCTTCCTCCTGCATGTATTCACCTTGCAGGAGAAAAGCACAAAAAGCCTAAGAGAGCTGAACCCTCCAACTGCCACAGCATCAAGAACCAGCTGGCAAGTGTGGAATGGGGCTAATTCCAAGGAGCTGATGTGCAGATCAGATCCAGCATGCCCCATTGTGCTGGCTGGCTGCTAACAAGGTGCATCAGCTGCTCAGGCTTGGCCTGCACTCAATGAGTCAGGAGAGCCCCAGCCAGAGGAAGTGGCAGCCTATTTGAACAGAAAGCTGGGAAGTTGTAACTATTCCAGGGATTAGATAAAATCGCTGCCAGAGGTTCAAAGGATCACGGCAGGTGAAGAAGTGGAGGCCAAAGCTTACCAGGACTTCACTTACCCCTCCTAAGTCTTCCAGAGCAATCAGCTCTGGATCAGAAGGGTTCTGGGTGAGCCCCGAGGGAATCCCAGGTCATTCTCCCTGCACAGAACTCAGCTGAGCAGCACAAGCAGAGCCAACCTCATTTAAACCCCACGGAGAAAGGCCGAGGCAGCTGATAAATCACCTGGCCAGCCTGGCTCCATTCACACTGAGAGCACAGCTCCTGGGCCAGCAGCAGGGCAGGCAACGTGCTCCCAGCCCTGGCAGCGACAGGGACCTGGAACAGACACTGCAACCCATCAGCCTGGGGGAGCAGAGCCCCCAGACCCAGCCCTGCCTGCCAGGGGTGGCAAAGGCTCTGACAGCACAGCCAGCACCTGGAACAGACACTGCAACCCATCAGCCTGGGGGAGCAGAGCCCCCAGACCCAGCCCTGCCTGCCAGGGGTGTGCAAAGGCTCTGACAGCACAGCCAGCACCTGGAACTCAGGGAGAAGGGGAATTGTGGAGGAATAAAAGCCAACACGGTGACACCCAAGCACCTCATCACCCTGTGGGACTGGGACATCCACAGGGCAGAGCTGGGCCTCAGCACCACCTTCAGCTGCTCCAGCACAGCAATTTCCTCTGTTTTAATGGAATTTGAACAGAATGCTTCTAACAAATGCTGGCCAGCGTTACTTGGGAGCTGCAGAGCCCAGACACTTGGTGGGATGATTTAGTGCAGAGCGTGTCCTCCCTCCCCTTCCATTACTGCTCCTGTTGCAGAGCTCATTTCCTGCACCACAGTCTCTGAGGTGTATTTGCTTACTGCTCAAGTATTATCTTCCTGAGGGGAAAAAAAAAAAAAGCTTTGTTTTATTTCAATGAAAGCTAAAAAACTGCAGAAAAAGCCTAAAAATAGTGTCTGAGATCTCTTGCAATTTTCACTACTTTCCTACTGTAACATCAAAAGCATTGCTCCTTTATGCAGCTATTTGGGTGTTTTTCCCTGGACAACTTTGACAAATCCCACATTCCTACTGCAGAAACCATCTGAAGTGGGAGTAAAGAGACATTATTTCCAACATTTTGCATTAAAAAGCATCAACCAACACAAACAATCAAGAGCAAAACACTCCTCTCACTGAGATTTACTGCACCCAACTGCAGCCACTGATACAAGACACACAAAGAGATTTCTCCCAGAGCCCATGAAGGGATCACAATGTCCAGAAACCAGTTCAGTCCAGCCTACAACTGGATGGAAATACTGGCATGTCCCTTCAATGCATGAAGGTGGTTTTACTTTGAATCACCAAATATCTGCAAGACATAAAACGAAGGAACGTTAAAAACGGTTTGAAAATTAACTCCTAAGAAGCAGATAACAATCTGCAGAGCTCATGCCTTTCACCTTGCCTGTGCATCAGTGCTTTAGTACTCAAGGCATTTAAAAACATCCCATTTTAATGAAGCAGGTGGGTCCTGGGTGGCTGTGCCCCATTGCTGACACACCAGGAGGGATCCCCAGAGCTTCAGCTGTGCATCAGGCTCCCAGATTATCAGTTTCAATGAGTTGGAAGAGAATTACACATCCCCCTTTCCCAGCTGTCGGGACATGAGCTGAAACAGGACCGTGAAAATCAAGTAACTCCTGAAGTGACTTTCACCTCCAAAGATAGGTAAGTTTTATGAATTCCAACAATAAAGTCATTTCCCAGCAAAGAAGGGCTCTGCCAGCACAGCAGCATTTTCTGAGTGTGTTATTCAGCAGGACTGAGCTGCTCAGAAGGGAAACTCCTGCAAGGGGAAGGAGAAAACGTGGACTGGAGTGTCTGAGCCCCAGCAGCTCATCAGGGGGCAGCTGCTTTCCTCCCACCAAATTCCCTCTCAGGATGTCAAGCACCAGGGCACCGGGGGTTAATTAAACCTGAAAGACACCTCCAGCTCTGCCACCCCCAGAGCAGGGGAAAAGGAAATCCCTGCACCTCCCTGCAGCCCGTTAGCAGAGAACCTTTAAAACCAAGGAAACCTGATGGAAATAATGGAGCCCTGCTGCCGTCAGGGGGTTCTGGACGCAGCCCAAGAGCAGAGGGCCTGCGAGGTTTTATTTGCCTCCCACGAGCACCAGGAGCAGCCCTGGGAAGGCACAGCAGCAGCACAAGGGCTCTCCCCTCTCCCACAGCACCGCCAGGGAGCCCAGACAGGAGGTGAGGCTCGGCAGCAGCAGCTCTGCCAACTCAAGGAAACGTCAGGGTCTGGAGAATTTCCTCACGTGTTTCCAATGTGTTTTTTATGCATTTTATTGCTCATCTGCCATGCAGATCAAAAACGCTGGAGGGATTCCAACTATTTCACACAGAATCTCACACTCCAGGCTGGCTGCAGCCCCAAAGCCTGAGTTTCTTCACTTGAAACACTGCCCAGTGTTATTTTGGGATGTGACCTGATAGCGGAAGCCCACGGGGACCCGGGAGGGAGCGGTTCCAGCTGTGAGAGAGAGAGGATGCCCGAGCAGGGCCGGTGCCAGCGCGGGGCTGTCAGTGCTGCTGACAGCAGGAACCAGCACAGCCCCTCCTGCTCCCACACACAGACCCTGCTGCAGGGGCCGGGGCAGCTCAGCCTGCACACAAATCCCTGCCTGGCAGCACAAGGAGCCGAGGGTTTGTGCTGCAAACAGCCGGGATTCTTTCATCTGGCAGCAGGAACCGGCACCCCTCTCTCTGATACAGCTCATTTGTTAAACAAACAGAGAGATGAAACAGCCAGAAACGCTTAAGATCAAGGTAACAAAGTCCCAGAGGAGCAGAGAGACTTGAGGCTCTGCTCCAGCCCATCGCAGTGACCCGGAGGAGCAGGAAGACTGACCAGGGAGCAGAAGGGATTCCTGAGCAGGGACTGCAGCCTCCCCTGCCCGCCCCAGCCTCGGCCCTTCCACGTGGGAAGAGTGGGGGAACAGGGACTGATCCCACACCATCAGATCACCAGACAGCACTCGGGGAAATTGTGGTCTGAGATGGGCATGTGCTGCAGTTCATAAATTCTGTAAGGCCACTTGTTTCCATAGGATGCTCACAAGCAAGACCAGAGAACAATGGCTAAATTTATTCCCCACTTTTTTCTGAAAGAGAGAAAGTCTCTTCCTTCCTTCTGATTGAAATACTCACTTTCTATTACAAGCTCCTTTTCGGTGCAGTTGCTTTTCCACTTACTCAAGAACTACCAACATTTAAAAATCACAAGCTTGTCCTTTCCTTCCCCTTTATTTCCACACCCAAAATACCTCAATCCTCTCTATCACAACAATCACACAGCTGACTGGCAGGATCTCCCTGCTATTTTGGGGACATGGATAGACTCGTTCCTCCTTTGGCAGCACAGACAAATCCTGCCTCTCGTGCTCTACAGAACACTTTCTCCTGGAGACTTCCCCATGCCTCGCTCACAGCACCCCCACAAAGGAACCTGAGGTTTTCCCAGATGTGACGGGAGGGTCTGGAGAGGCCCTGCAGCCCCAGTGCCTTCCTGCTGTGCCTCTTCCAGGTTGTTCCCCCAGCAGAAACCAGAAGCTGGAGCTTGGGAACAAGTTCAGCTCCACTGGAAACCCAGCTGATGCTTCTCATCCAGAGAGATTTCTCATCCAGTGTCCCCAAAGCTGACAAATCAAGAGTCAGAACAGAGATTTTCCAAGTCTTGTCCTGTCCCAAAAACATGCAGCTTGTGCCAGGGATGGCATCATTCCCCTCACTCTGCTCTTCCACCACCAGTCACTGTGGAGAGGAACATGAGTCCATCTTCCCAGCACCAAAAGCACCTTCAGGATCCTTCCTGGTGTGGGCATGGGCTGGACAAGACACAAAGGGGACGTCCTCCTTCAAAATGGGACAAGTCCAGCAGTCAGAAGGAACAAAGGGATTTATTGGCAATGAAATCACTGGGATTGGCCCCTTGGATATGTCCCTGGAAGCTCCACCTCTGATCTGAGCAGGGATGATATGAGAGCAACTAGAACTGAGCTCAGCAAGAGAAAAAACATCGAGTTTGGTACCAAACTGAGTGAGCCACAAGGACCTGGGGCCCTCACGTGCCACTCACCCA